AATAAAATAATAAAATAATAATTAATAATAATTAATAATAATAATAATAATAATAATAATAATAATAATAAGAATAATAATAATAACAAATAAAAAATGCAAGGACTTTATAACGTGGAAAGATGTGGAAAGTGAGAGTTAGTGTTCTCTTGTTCGATGGATTTTTAAGAGCAACGGGAGTCGCCAGGGATTGAGAATCCCTTACGCTATGTTTACTTCAAGAGGTTAGTACTAGTGATTGTTTGACGTGGAAAGTTCATAATAAGAGACCAGAAAGCTACCGCATGAGCTGAGAGCTGATCTAAGCTTCAAGTTCATGCGCAGAAGAAGTTGATGAAATTCTAAGAAGATCAAGATCAATAACAGGAATGTCCATGGCAGGAAACTAAGCATCTAAAGGCTCACCATCTCTGTAGCTTTTTTATATAATGTTCAGACACTTCACCTTTAAAGATCAACACTTCTATAGTTTAAGCTTGTAATTCCATCTCTTTTTGGAGCTTTTGGTAAAAATTGTGGTCATATACACTATGTACTCTAAGCATATATTCATATCAGCTAAACTTGGCTGGTGTCTAAGAATAAATACATCATAGAAGAAGATTTGAAATTTAGTTCTGAAGGTCCAACAGTTCATGGTCCACAATGAGCTCGCCATATCGCAAGACTGTATATCCAATTGTCTAACGGCCTAACCTACGTTCAGTGACGGAGCCAAACTTCTATTTCGGTTAGGGCATATACTAAATTTTTATCTTGAAGTAATAAAAAGTGTGAAATTCAATGGGGATATAAATATATATATATATATATATATATATATCTGTATTTTAACAGGGACAAAATAAGAAAATCACTTTTTAAAGGTTATTTAAAAAGAAAACTTAAAAAACTCAGTTGGGCAGCCCTAAGTGGCTCCGCCACTTATTCAGATTCACCCAGTGAGGGTGGCACTTGTGAGTTGTTGATGGCTGATCTGGTACCATGTCCGTACAAGGGTACATGCTCAATAATCTGTGTCCCGCGACACTGTTGGGCTCGTTTCGTAGAACCAAGCCACGCTCGGGGAATCCTCCTAAGCTGTGGTTTGATGGGCCATGGGTAATCAAGTGAGCTCATTTATCTTTTAACTTTTGTATTAGTTTGAATCCTGCTTGGGGATTTCGTAAATTAATCAAGTTAAAAATAAATGGGTGATGGAGTTCTCAACTCTTTCCTGAAGCTTTCCGTGGGAAACCCAAAACCCCTCATTATAGTCTCCTTCTTCATATGTCTGTAAAGCCAAATTGCTCTTTCAGCGTCAAGCTTCATCTTTTAAAACCTTCCTTACTGCCAAAGGGTCTTTCTTCGTCATCTTCTTGCTCAACAGAGGCTTCTCTTGCGCTAGACTTCCGTCTAGGAGCTACATTGCATCTGCCTCCAAGAGAGTCCTTGCGCATACCTATGGACCGCTTATCGAAGTTCCTCAAAGCAATTTGTGTCAGGTGCTCCGAATGATGTCTCTTAGCCCAAAATAGCATGAGTTCGACCTGACAAGTCTGACGTCGCAGTCTGACCTTCGAGAATGAAAATTTTTAGAGCATTAAATGTGATCCCATGCGATCACGTGTGTTTCAGACGTGGGGAAGTGTTTTAATTATCATATATCTCAGAGCCTTGTCTCAATCTCCTTCTACTTCGGGCTATTATTCCAATCACATCTTTGCTTTGTCCAATCATTTTGCTCCGTAAGGAATGGCGTGTGCAGTGCTCTGTCAGAGCACCATCGGACTTGCCATGGAGTAGTTCTCCAGAACTTTTCATTCCATTTTCAATCGTCCTTTTCATCAGGACAGCTATAGATCTTTGCTTCAAATGGAAATGTGTGCTCCGTTTTCCATTAGATTATTTCGTACTACCCTAAACTGTCGCTGAATGCCTCCATTATTTTTCCATTTTTGGTTCTTTTATTTGAAAGCACCATGAGGTTGGCGGCATCTTGCTTTAAATGGAATTGTGTGTGCAGGCTTCCCTCAGAACATGCAGTACGATTCCTCAAAGCAAGTGCCATAACTTTTGGATTTCTCCTATATATACCCCTTTTCCCTTCATATTTCGAGGGGAATCACGCTTACATAGCTTACTCCAACTCTGCTGAAATCTTTCCAGAATTTCTCCATTTTCTCGAGTTGTTCTTGAGGTTATATTGGTCTTGGTCTGCTCCAACCCGCGACGCTACTCAAGAAGCTCTGTCAGATCTTCATCTACTCCCTTCTTGAAGCACTAGGAAGTTCTTGGGCCTTTGCTGGCATATTCAAACTCCGTCTGATGGAGTAAATTTTGAGGCTCGAAAGGCATCAAGACTATGCTCCCACCATCAGCCATTTTGACTCGCTCAACCTTGCCCTTTTTAGGGGTTTCTCAATACTTCTTCAATGGAGCTGCCTGTGCTGGTTCACATAGTAGTCTCATTTTCCCTACCATAGCCTTATCCATCATATGAGTCACTTCTCTTCTCTAAGTTGTTCTTAGTTAGGATTGTGAATGGAACCAAGGTTGTAAGGATGACGGTTAATGTCTAAGTTGCTTGAGTTTTTATTCATGTTCATCTATGTATGTTTAATGCTTATTTCTATTTTTGACTGGCCATCAACTATAGGATACAAGACTTAGATTAATACTGGAAAGGTTAATTTTAGTTGAATCTAACATACATGATGCAAGTTCAATATGCTTGTTTAAGTATGTTGATTTGTGAATGGTATAGGAATATATTATTCATCTTGCATAACTAAATGGAACCAGTGTTGAGATTTGTAATCTGAGAACTAGATTCATATAAGAATATATTGGAAATAGTTTGAAGAATTTAGGTCATAATTAATTCGAAAGAATTTTATGTAAAAATTGAGTTTCAGTTAACTGCAATAAAAATGTTGTAGCATTCCTGTAGCATTTTAAGGTCTGACTTACAACTGAGGTGAAATCAATAGTCCTAGCCCATTTAATCATTGAATTAAGATCTATAGCTGCATTCTCGTTATCTTTACTACTTCTTGTTGCATTTACATTGCTTCGTTTATGTCTCATTAGTTTATTGAATTGTAGTTACTTGATTCTTTTTATCAAATTTGGTGTTTGAGGTGACTTTTACATTCTATTATCAGTGACTCAATCCTCGTGGGATCGACACTCTTATTCACTCTTTATTACTTGATTGCGGCACGTGCACTTACGAGCATAAAAATCACGCAACAAGTTTTTGACGAAATCATTGAGAACATTTGTAGAAGTCATTTTATTTGTTGATTTTATTTTTTTTATTTGTTTCTAATTTTTTTCTTTGATTCATTTGTTTTGCGAGGTACTTCAAGATGTTTCATCAACAAGTCCTTGCGAGTTTTACCCAACAACACTTGGAGCCATTTTATGTCGCTTGGGGGAGATTCAATGACATGGTAGAGAGATATTCCAACTATAATCTTTCAAATTAGTTTCTGCCTTTCTGTTTCTACAATGGGTTGGATGAAGCAACAAGAAGTTGGGTGGATTATGGAGCGTTGACAACTTAAATAGAAGCCATGAAAGTGCAGTGTACTTATTGAATGACATGGTGGATTTCGACTACCACTGGCATTGGGATCCTTCACTGCATGGTTGGTGTCATCAATACCCTTCATATATCCCACACCCCGATATTATAAACCAACAATTTGAGTATCATGAAGAGAAGAAAATGAG